ATAGGGTAAGTTCAAAGACTTTACTTTGTACATCAGTAGCAAACTTTCCATATGTCTAAAGACTGACAAAGCTACCTAATCTGTGAACATGCATTTATATAAATTCACTCTCAATATTCAAATAGAATTATAAGGGTTCCATTTAACATGGAATCTGCAAAAACACCAATCCTAAGGGGTCCATTTAACATGAAATCTGTAAAACACCAACCCTAAGGGGACCATTTAACATGGAATCTGCTAAAAAAACTAATCATAAGGGGTCCATTTAAACATGAAATCTGCAAAAACACCAATCCTAAGGGGTCCATTTAACATGAAATCTGTAAAACACCAACCCTAAGGGGACCATTTAACATGGAATCTGCTAAAAAAACTTATCATAAGGGGTCCATTTAAACATGAAATCTGCAAAAACATCAATCCTAAGGAATCCAATTTACAAGCAAGCTACAATTGTATGTCTTCAACTGTTCCATCAAGTTAATTGGTGCTTGTTGTGAACGTTGAGTTAAATTATACATAGCTGAGCAGAAGATACCCCAAGGCAAAAAACAAGTCAATTATTCCAGACTTGATTGCTATTATATCTACACTCATGTGTACAGTAAATACTAAAACAAGTTGGTAAGCTAGTTAGCAATCCGCTCCACTCAAAAAACAAACAACATGTTTTCGGCTGTTGCAATCGTAGGACATTAACGTGAATGTCAGTAACTAAAACCGGGCCCGGTATACAAAGTTTGCAAAAACATTAAGTTTTTAGAAGTAACTTTACTTTATTACTAGCACATATTTTGTTGTTAAATTATTATTTCCGACCGTTTTGCAATTCTATTTTCTAGATTCAAATGCAGCATTTATAGTTCATTTAAAGTTCAAAGTTGCATTGGGATTACGTTGATACAGTGTTACAATGTAGGCGCCGGTGATCTCTTGTCTTTGGCAACTAAAGCCCCTTTCACAATTAGCGCCTCACTCGTGCGATAATTTTTTTTTTCGAAAATATTTTTTCCGGCCTGTTGTAGAAGTGTTGTCTTTGAGTCGCAAGCAATATATAAAATCGTACAAGAGGTGAACGACCACTGCACCAGGATACAACAGTCGTGAGACGTAATCGTGCGATTATTTTCATGTTTCCGGGTGCAACAGTCGTACAACGGCTGCAACGGTTGAACGATGATG